GGGGGGCGTGGGAAGAGAGAAATGAGACGCAGCTTGCGCTGGACAGTTTTTATTGGTCAGTGTTCCAAGCTGCAGAGCGAAGCCGCGCAGTTTTGTAGAAACTGTTGGTTTGCCAATAGTTTCATTACATTTTTGAGATTTTTAGCAGCTAGTACGTGTCGTAAAGTTAAAATATGTATCATTAACAGTTAAAAGTAAGAGTTATGCTGAAAAGCGAGCAATTGTTTAAAGATAATATATATATAATTCCATGTGTATATGTCGCGTGCGTGCTGCGTGCCACTGAACTTCAAGTGCTGTTCAGACAGGGGCCAATGTACAGCCCTAGCGCACGCTACGCACCGCCACACGACGCTCCGCGCCCAGAGCCTACCGCCTGCTCTTTTTAACATGTTTGAAAGTTTCACGTCTGTGATTCTGAGTCTGCCGTGAGAGTTGGGAGTCAAAGCTCGACGCCATACGTATAAAGTCACGTCAGCGTCAGCTATATTTATTTTCGCTACTCCAGTGTTGCCAGATAAGTAGGAAACATTAATTGCCAACGAAATTTAAGTGTGAAGCAGGTCGTATATCTATATTGCAAATTCTAATGTCTCGTGTCGAGAATTTGCCTAGTAGGCAGGGGGTAGATACAACCCGCCTCACATCTGAGTATCATGGGCAATATTTACCTACTTATATGTCAACGGGTTCAAAATAGGTCACTACCACCAGCGCTGCAACCACTCTTGCCAGGAGTCTTCGTGACACTGGCTGCATATCACTTGCACGCCTGGCAGTGAGCCTCGTATGGTCACTCGCTGCTGGTCGCAGCTGTTGACCTGGTCGTCGCCGTGGCCCTGGCCCATGCGACGCACCAGTACGAGTCGTCGCAGGACCTGCAGCTCGCACGCCGCAAGGTCCGCGGCCAGATCTGGGAAGTGGTAGTAGCCACCCTTGCCGACGCCGCAATTGATCTCCAGCTCCAGCAGCGAGGCCGCGTGCGCGCGCACCAGGGACAGCATCGTGGGTTTTTTAACGGCATACATACTGAGCCCCAGCCACTGCAGCCCGCAGTGCAGCACGGGGGGAAAGGTCACATCGGGGCCGTGGTACCACTCCAGGAACAAGCTGCGTAGCCGCGGCATTCGCTGCACGCTCAGCAGGTGGTTCTCGCACACGTGGACTATGCCGAGCTCCTCCAGCTGCAGTGGCAGGTCCGGGTGGCCGTCTTTCTTGCATTTGACGACCAGCCTCCTGAGGGACTTCATGTTCTTCACCACATTCATGAGGCGCGGTTGAGCATCCGATATATGCACCTGCTCGAGGTGCGGCATCCGATTCAGCAAACTCGCAACCCGGTTAGAGCCATCATAGTCATCCGCTCTCCTCAGGACCTGCACCTTCTCGAGATCGCACGCGGGCCACTTCAGGACTTCATCCATGCGCGTCATAGAGAGGCGGAGGTCCAGGTGTTCGACGGACAGCCGCGGCGGGCCCACGGCGATGTCTAGGTCTGGAGCCACGCGGCCCGCGGGAGGAACAGCGGCACCAGCGACGTCGACCTGCAGCGAGAGCAAACGGCGTGGTCGTGTTGCCAACTACTAGGCTGATACAAAACAAATTTCAGGAATGTAGCGTGGGCTGTCCACGCCGGCTAAGCAACCCACTGACAGGTGTACAAATGTTGTTGCCCAGCAGGCATGCTTAGGTAGGCAGCTCCACAGTTGTTGCCTACCTAGCTGGCAACACAGCGTGAGCACATTCAGACAGACCTTGACCAGCTCGCCGTCGATCTGCTGTTGCAGCAGCAGAAGGCGCGCTAGATGGTGAAGCGGACCGAGCTGCACGGAGGACCGCCAGGAGGCCGCGCCCCCGACCTCCTCCGCGACGACGCTGCACTTGTTGGCGTTGAGAACGCGGTTGTGGTCCTCCAGCTGCACCGCCAGCTGCAGCAGCTGCTCGGCCGGGTGCGGGGCGGCCTGCTCCAGGTCCGCGAGGGCCTCCTCCACCTGCCGCAGCCGCGCCACCGACGCGTCCAGCTGGCGGTGCAGGGCGTCCACGGCCAGCGGCACGACCTGCTGCAGCAGCTGCACCACCTTCCTCCCGGCCTCCGCGCCCCGCTGCAGCTTGGCCAGGCGGGGGTCCTCCCTCCTGGGCACCTTGCGGGGAGGTCCGCCCTCGCCGCCCTCGCCGCTCTCCTCCATCAAGCGGATCGCGAGGACGTTGTCGGGGAGGCTGGCGGGATCAGCGATCAACTCCTGAAAAGAAAAGGGAGGAGGTGTGTAGAAGAGAAAAATACACCATTAGCAGACACTCCTTATTTTGCCAAAACTATTTATTTCATTTACCATAAATTAT